GAGCCTTCACCACTGATTGTGATTTTATTTTTTTTAAAGATTGCATTTATTTATTTGTCAGAGAGAGAGAGAGCACAAGCAGGGGGAGCGGCAGGCAAAAGGAGAGGGAGAAGCAGGCTCCCTGCTGAGCAGAGAGCCCAACCTGGGGCTTGATCCCAGGACCCTGGGATTGTGACCTGAGCCAAAGGGAGACGCTTAACCTACTGAGCCACCCAAGTGCCCCTAAAAATTATTTTCATGATAGTAAGTAAATTTTACTTTTAGACAGAGGGGAAGCATATAAACATGATTTAAATGTTATATATATTTTTAGTTTTTCCAGGTAGATAATGTACATGATGTCATTTCAATAGATTTCAGAATTTACAGTAATATTGGCATCTAGCATAACTAAATAAATCAAGTCAACTTTAATAATTTCCATTTGTGTTCAAGTGGTTTGTCAAAATAAATGTTTGAAATATAACTGGCTTGCTGTGGAAATTGGACTGTGGACAGCTGTGTTACCAATTAACTAATTAATGCCTTAACCAATTTGAGGTAAGGTTTGCACAAATAACTAAACTTAGGTATATTTCTCTAAAGTGGAATAAAATTAATTCGCTGATGCTTAAGTTGGAGAAGATTCTTGAAATCAGCTTTTTATGAATATGCTTTTTTGCTTTTGTTTTATGTAATTTGTTATCAGTCAACTTGCAATGTTCTCGACATGTTAGTGATTTTACTTGAGAATATTCACAAAAGAATTGCTTTTTTAACTCACGAATTTATTTTTCTGTTGGGAGTTTTGGTGTAAATGCTCCAACATTCATTGCTAGTTTGAATAATTTGCATCAAAAATACAGTGTCTTGAGGCCCCTGGGTGGCTCATTTGGTTAAGCGTCTGACTCTTGATTTTGGCTGAGGTCATGATCTCAGGGTTGTGGGATCAAGCCCTGAGTCTGCTTGAGATTCTCTCCCTCTCCTCCTCTCCTCTCCCCTTCCTCTGCTTGCATGTGCACCCGAGCATGCTCTTTCTCTCTCTAAAATAAATAAATAAATCTTTAAAAAAACTAGTCTTTGGCAAACATCACTATTTGTTTCAGCCCATCACTTCAGATCATTCATTTTATTGACCTTGATACTTGTTTTGTATATTCAGTGAGTTATATATAATTACACATTTATGTATGTGTGTGGGGGGGAATTAATGGGTGTGTTCTGGTTTAAATTTTATTTTATTTTTTTATTTTTGGTGGGGGATTTTTGTTTTTTTAATATATATTTTTTTAATTTTAGAAAGCAAATGCTTGCTTAGTCATAAAGACATTTTCGTTATAAAACATAATGAAACTCATTTTACTTTGTAAAACTAAAAGGATACTTTAGACATTTGAATTTGAATTTTGAGTGAAATCCAAGTATCACTTTGTTCTGATTCTTAAATCTCATCTTTATTAATCATGACTATGAGTAAATCATTTTCTCCTTGCTGAATAATGAGAAAAACTTGCCTTTTCCATTTCCTTTAAAAAAGATTCAAAAAATTGCCCAGTAAATGCCTCGCTTGGGAATTTCTTTATCCTTTTCCCCCAAGTTGTCTTAATGATTTTTCCTTTTTAAAAAATGCTTTTATAAATATACAAGTTCATTTTTCAAATACCTCTTTTATTTTTCAATCTAGCTATGTGATAGCGGTTGTATCATGGTGCAGAAGACTGACCCAGACTAGTGAGAGAGAGATGCCCACACATTCTTCATCTTCTGTTATTGAAGAAAATTGGTATTAATATTTCTTTTAAACTTCATCTGTGTAGAGGAGACACAAAAATTAAAAATGTCAAATGGTAAACTCCTAAGACTTTTCCTGATAGCTTAAGCTTGAAAATAATTTATCTTTAATCAGATATCTAATTTATTACATTTCATCATATTTTATCTGAGGTCAGAAAATTGCATTGAAAACTTCATACCAAAATGGGTGACTTTTAATGTGCTAAATTCATCCTGAAAACTTTATGGAAAAATTTAAAGGAGATTTTTAAAATTTTAGTAATATTAAAAGAAATAAAATGTTGACTAACTTAATAAACTTTCAGAAAAAGTTGATTTTGAAATCGCTTCTATCGTGTTAATTACCTTTCCCAACTTAACTGGAAAATCAGCAAATAAAGTATTTTAGTCCTTCCTGTGTGCCTTTCAGTGTGCAGGGGACTGGAACTGGGCTTCAAAGGAATATTTAGGGAAATTAAGACATTTTAGGGAGGGAGCAAGAGCAGAGGTAAAAAGCATATTTTGTCCTGTGGAGACAGTGAGAAAATAGTTTTTATGGAGCAGAAGCTATCTGTTAGGCGGTAGTGTGAGTTTCGGTGGATAGAAATGGATCTTGTGAGGGGCGCCTGGGTGGCTCAGTCGTTAAGTGTCTGCCTTCGGCTCAGGTCATGATTCCAGGTCCTGGGATCGAGCCCTGCATCAGGCTCCCTGCTCCGCGGGAAGTCTGCTTCTCCCTCTCCCACTCCCCCTGCTTGTGTTCCCTCTCTCGCTGTGTCTCTCTCTCTGTCAAATAAATAAATAAAATCTTTAAAAAAAAAAAAAAGAAATGGATCTTGTGATCAGTAGAGGAGCTCAGACTTGATAGAATTACAAGTTCCTAAGTAGAACAAGTGGCAGAAAGAAAGGTCATTAGGAAGGTTAGTATCACTGAGAGGATAATCTGAATATACAGGTATCCCCCACTTTTCGAAAGTTTGCATTACACGACTTCGCTTTTACGAAAGACCTACATCAGTGTGTACCCATTTTTCTATGGACATACCACCCTGAACACACCTGATCTTTTCTCATCTCAGAAACTAAGCAGGGTGGGGCCTCGTTAGTACTTGGATGGGAGTATGTACCTGTTTTTGCTAACTGAAAGAAATCCAAAAAGGATTTTTGCTTTTAAGAAAAAAGGCAGAAAGTGAAAATAGCATTCAGTATTTGTTTTGCAATGAGCTCTTATAGAGGCAGTTTGCACCCCAAGCAGGGAGAGTGGTACCTCCGAGCTCCTTCCCTGGAACTACACTCAGCATCTCAGCTTCAAGCCGCCATAGCTTTGAACGTGTCTGTGAGCCTCTGTGCTTCATCTCAATTTATTTTGTGCATCCATTAGCAAGATGAGTCCTCAGGTGTCAAAAAAAAAGCCTAAGAGAGGTTATTTTTTGCATGTGGGAATGATCAAAAAATTTTCCATAAAAATTAATGGTAATTGTTTTTCAGCTTTTGGATAGTGGAGGAAACCTGTATTGGAAAAGAGGGGAGGCGCTTGGGTAGCTCAGTCTGTTAAGCGTCTGCCTTTGGCTCAGGTCATGATCCCAGAGTCCTGGGATCGAGTCCTGCATGGGGCTCCCTGTTCAGTGGGGAGTCTGCTTCTCCCTCTCCCTCTGCTGCTCCCCCTGCCTGTGTGCTCTCTCTCTCTCTCTGTGTCAAATAAATAAATAAAATCTTTTTAAAAAAAAAAGGAAAAGAGGTATAACAGGAACAATTTAGGAAGGTTTAGGGTAGTTTTGTAAGGTGTCTTAGCATAGCATGGTGAAAAAAATATAAACATTAAACCTGATCCTTCCTTATCACCTTTTCCTAAGTTACTTAGAGAAAGAGATACAAATCAAATCAGTCGATGTTATTTAATATCTTAGGTCTCCTAAGAATTCAGCTTTCCAGATCTTCCATTCTTCAGCTACAGCCTGTTTGGGAGCAGAAAAGTTGCCCAAGTAGCTGGCAAAAAATGTAGTTGGGATGAAAGGGAAATTGTATATGACTATAGGATTGGCCAGGTCACTTCATCATCACTCAGCTGACAAGGTTTTTAAGATGCTGGCCTTTTCATATGAAGGCTTTGAAGAGGATAACTGTCAAGACATACTACAAAGTGAGGGCCTGAGGGAAGTGCATATTGGTGATAGTAGCTCTGGGGGGAAGCAACAAGGAGCAGCAGAAAGACAAAGGAACTGAGGAAGAGTAGGGAGAGGAGAGGCAGTCCCTGACAATAGCTCCATTTCCCTTGCCATGCCTAAGACCTCTCCACTGTGATTTGTTTCCTTGTCAAAGAAGGAGGATTGAAGGAAGAGAAGTGATTGCACAATGAAGAGCTACCTGAATTTATTTCAGTATTTTTTTTCCAACTCACCTTCTATTATTAATTTACTGATTCAACTTTTTTTTTTTTTAATTTATTTGACAGAGAGAGAGAGAGCACAAGCAGGGGGAGCGGCAGAGGGAGAGGGAGAAGCAGATCCCCGCTGAGCAGGGAACCCAATGTGGGGCTCATTCCCAGGACCCTGGGATCACGACCTGAGCCGAAGGCAGATGCTTAACCGACTGAGCCACCCAGGCACCCCTGATTCAACTTTTTAATAGGGATGCTAGTCAAAACATAGAACAGCAGATCGTTCACAAGAAGTTGGTTCATCATATGAGCAACAGCATAAAGGTAGTTTGTATTGTTTGCTTATGGCCAGAAAAATATGGCATATGTGGGGGAAAAAAGGTGTTTTGCAATGATGAAGAATCAGCAGACTATGGAGTAAGTCATATCCAAGTCTTTACCACAGATGCTTAAAATGTTGAAAGATCTCTTTCATTCTCCATCCATAGGCTAGAGTACAAGGAAAGAGTGCAAGTTGACAAGTACTGTAGTAAA